CTTCCAGCTTTGTAAGGCAAGCCTCGTGTTTTCTTGCTTGAACAGCCTCTCGGGCCTCGACGACAGTCTGCTTTACTTGTTCGTTATGCTTGAATTGGTGCTCGTGACCTTTCTTCTTGAATGAACGAGGCTCAGTGAACTTTATTCGTTTGATTTCATTCATCTGGGCTTCGTGTGCGGTGCCCGAAATAGTCTCTAACTCTCTCTTCAAATGGTTCATCTTAGTGTCCATCACTTCGACAAGCTTAGTCATCAATGTGTTCTGTTGTCTCTCTATCTCTTCTTGTAGTTTTGTATCCATACTTGCAGTCAAATAATGCTTGGAAAAATAAAGACCTCGATGATAGAATGAAAGCTTGTGTCRAGAAAAAGAGAAAAGCGAAAAACAACGTCAAATAAAAGCAAGACAAAATTAGTGTGCCGTGCTTAACCTTGCAGTCAGGCTAGAATGAAACCCTTCGCCTGCGAAAGCCCGCCTTTTGCCGTTCGTTGCGTCATTATCTCCATGGCAACCACTCTCCATATTAGGCGAACCGTGAAAACAATATTTTGCTTCTATTCTTCGAACCGAAGCAAACAGCAAGGTTTATTTTGGATGGAATCTGATATATACAAGATATATAAGATGCTTTTCCAATTTAAAATTTGTGTTTGATATATTATTTCCTGGACCCAAGATTTATTTCATGTTTTTTTAGAAATTGCCATTACAATACTTTTGAGGCAAGTTTCCCAAAAGCATCCAAAGCTATGACATTGCAAACATGTTTACATCTAGTGCATATAACCACAGGCAGCCCAATCAGGGTACTTGAAGCTCAAACAAATTTTTTTTGAAATAATTCATGAAATTGTAGAAAATGTCCTCAATAAACATACTTTTAACTTATCGATTTATAGTTTTTATCACATTCCGAAATCATTTAGACATATTTTTTAACTCCATATAACTTGAAAATAAGTTTAACTCCATATATTGATAAGTTAATTTGAAAACAAAAATTTAAAACATTAATTTAAAAAAACTTTATATTTGAGCTTCAAGTACCCTGCTGCCTGTGATATAACATGGCCAAATACCAGAATACATGTAGTATTTCAGTCATACATACTTGATATTATAAATGGCTCCTGTCCTCAGATACCTACCAACTAATTGCAAGTTCACCCTCATCATTTCAACCCTGGAAATAAGGTATATGTAAATGAATTAGTGCAAACTGTCAAGTTGAAAAAATACAGTCAATTCATAAAATGTTGTCAGCAACTGGCTATTATATGCAGGCTATACTTACTGATATAATATTATAGTGCGCAACATTCCATTAAATATATGTCTTCAGGTCTTGCAAAAGGAAAACAATTTCATCTGTGTGATGTTACACGCGACAATGCGCGTCGATTTTTCGCGATACGCCGTTGCCAACTGTATACATGTTACACGGGTCGTTTTTTCGCGCAACATTCCTACGAATTGAACATGTTACACACGACAATTTTTCGCGATTTTCCAAATGGCAATTTCGATCCCAGTACCCAAGCCGCGCAGTGTGACGAATCAAAACAAACATGTTTCTTTACATCTTTTGTTTGCTTGTCATGTGGAGACAACAGACATTAACGATATTAACTTCAGACGTGCATTACCGATATTAACGACATTAACGATATTAACTTCAGACGTGCTGCATCATCTAAGCGGCTCTGGTCAACTAACAATTCATCAACATCTCTCAAATTTTCGTCTTCTTCAATTACCGCCGCCATCTTGTTTGCTGACATCAGCCCTGTCCTTGAACTGCATTCTGGGTAGGTGTTGCGCGAAAAAATTGTCGACGAAGCTGTTACACCCATCAACTTGCTGAAAATTTGTGTTGCGAGTTTTTGAAGGAGAATCAAAAAGTCGCAACGTGTTGCCGTATCCGAAAATCTACCTGCGCGGTGTGTTAAACGCATCAATTTTTTGCGCAACGGCTTAAAGTCGACGCGAAAAATCGTCGCGTGTAACAATTTGTGGTTGCAATTTCAATGAGCTAACAAATAACAAAGGTCTTAGAAAAAACACTTGCCACACAATTATAGTACTCTAAAGACTAAAAAAATAAAGTTTAACGAGAGTGAAATTGAAACCACAAATTATCAAAGTCGGGAGGGTTTCGGAAAGCAATCGGGCATTGAATGTAAAGCGTGAGGCACTTCGTTTATTTCGTTACGCCTTTCTATTATCCAGAATATTTCCAAAATCGTGCATTCCAATGCCTCACGCAATTATTTCTAAACGCTTCCATACGATTCGAAACTTCGTTAACTTGAAGACAAACATGAAATTTAAGAACTTTCAAACCATTTTTTTAAACAAACGTCTGATTTCGCCAAAAACGAAATGAATAAAAAAAAAAAAAGACATGACGTCACTGATTACTGTGGTAACTCCGATCGTGATAAATTGTATATCATTGCATATCAACTTGAATCTCTAGACATGTCACAACAATTTATTTGAAATTAACTTATAGGCAGCGACGCATTACCCCTTCAAACTTCGAAGGTACGGCACAAACAAAACCCAGTCGAGCCACCTTAAAATCGAGGTTTATGCTGATTGGTCAATCGAGATTTTGACTTCGCGACAACAAAAATGTTGTCCTTGTATTTTCAAAATTCATTACTTTTTATGAATCAGAAACGATATATATTTGTACGGTAAACTGAAACGCTCATTTATCAAGCCCTACTACTATGTTTCGATGTTTTGAATTGGTCATGTCAATCCAAAAATGAAATCGTACTGACCCCATTGACGAGGTCGTGATAATATCAACTCAAAATTTGACAGCATGCGGCATTCCTTTCTTAGTGGCGCGAAATTTCTATTGAGGTTTTTGATTGGCTCCTCGACAAACGATAAGACGATTTTGATTAGCGTTCTGCTCAAATAAGCAAACGTTCGTTGGGAGGGAAACGCTGCGTGACAGACAGACACTAAGAAGCTCTGCTTAGGAGGCTATACAACTGAAGAACCACCCATTGCTAAGAACACAGGTAGCCCAAGCAATGTCAAGCGTGTGAATAAACAAAAGAATATATGTTACCTTTGGTGAGAACGATAAAAACGTGGTCAAGWAAATGCGAGAATCTAAAACTCTCTAACCCGTTAAAGCCTGTGCTGCAGAAACCTTAGTATGACCGAACTTCGTTGCTCTATCTCATTGTTGATATGTCGTGTTATTGCAGGGCCGCTGTAGCCACTATGATCGATTTGGAATTAAAGGCGCGATTACGAGGAGCAATTTTCTCTGTTTACACGGTGCAACGGAGATGCAATCGTTGCCAAAAGTGAAACGAATTCTACTTTTCGCAACGATTGCTGCAAATTGTCTCTAAATTGATATTGCGCTGTAGGTTACGCACTGCAGTGCTATATGTAACTTGGGTAGCAACGCCGTATATTACATATTTACGTGTTCCAGTGAAGGTCCGTGGAATTTCAAAGTGCTTGTATTATTGAAGTTGTGCATTCTTTACTTTAGCGTTGGTATTTGTGAATTGGACACAAAAATGAGGCTAGGTCTGTATAAATTAGTGTGTGATCAATGAACACAGCGGTATTTGACTAAGTCAGAAAATGATCTATTAATGCTGAGCAGAAGCAGAAGCATCAAAGTTGATGGCAGATATTTAAGGTTATGTGACCCCTTTGCGCTGTGTCAGCAGATCATGATCATTGGATGAATCTTTATTTGACAAGCAGCAAAAAAGACAAATAAAATAACATGCGTATGCAATATCTGCACATGGCTTCAATCAAAATACGAAAACTGATATTTCGTAAATAAATACCTTGGAGTTTTCACGCGATAAAGACAGTGCATTGAAGTTACATAGCTCCGACAGGGTATGTTGCACTAGGTAATGTTCCGTGCAACTTGTGTGACATTCGACATTATGATCTGTGGCGATTAATGGTTTACTCGCGATGAAATCCAGCTGAGTTGATCGTGTCCTCCGAAAGGAATTATGGGTTTACTATTTTTAATTATACAGCTTCTCATTAATCCCATATAGGTAACTGTTCAATTATTTTCTTAATTGGACAGGTCTTGTTGATATGGGATTAATTAGGGAGCTATATAATTAATAGGTAAAGGGATTTCATGCTCCCCAATCAAGAAATAATTAGACTCGAAAAATTCCTCTGACTGCCAAATTGGATGAGGCCTATGGCCTCATCCAATTTCGTCAGTCCTCGGAATTTTCCTCGTCCAATTATTTCTTAATTGGATAGCATGGAGTCCTATTGCATATACTAATTTGGTTAGCTTAAACAAAGCAATTTTGAAGGAATTAAAAAATTATAAGACCACCTTTACCGAACCAAGCATGATAATCTATAGACACAAATCTGATCAACTGGCATAAAACACATCAAGCGTCTGCACTGGAGGCTCGCTTGAGGCTGCCATGGCATGTGGGAGAGACTTGTTATACCCCTCTTTTCCAATCAACCAGTATGTCTTCCAAAATCCACGACCCTGCGAGTAGTGAGAGATCGTAATTTAGCTTCGTCAGTTGACCTGAATTATTTCATTAGAATACAATGTATTTCAGTTCAGTTAAAGGGGGACTCCGACGTATCACGGGTAAACTCGACTTGTGACAAATGTACCGTTATAAATTCATGTGACCATTAGCTATGGTCTTTAATAGACCACATTTTCACTTTCTCACCCGTGACTTCCTACTTMACCCGGTTGATGAAGAAAATTTGGCAAAGTAGGGGGATTGACATACACACACACATTACGAACCTTACCTTAATATAAACGTCGCCTCTCTTCTCGAAGATGTAACCACCGATTTCCTTCAGGATATTGTAGCAATTCTCACTGACGTGAATCTTTAGGGCTATAGAAAAATATTTGTTGCATAATATGAAACGGTCACTGACCAAACAGAGCGCGCGCTCTATTTGAAATATTTAGAAATGCATTTTAGTAAAGGGTAGATTGCTCGCACCGGCATACTTCAAAGCTGAAAGTTTTCGGATACTCTTGATCTCAATTCCCGCGCATGATTTACGCTTAGCCTACGRTTTCATAAGGTTACACATAATATTGCGCAGTTGTACTAAGATTGCGCACGGCTCAGACGAAGTTTAAGGTTGCATAAGGTTTCTTACGAGATTGCACAAAGTCTCCCTAACATTAGCGCACTAAGTCTAAGGTTGCATAAGGCTACTTACAAGATTGCACAAAGTCTCCCTAACATTAGCGCA